TGCAGCCATGTCATCGTCTGTCACAGTGCGTGCAGACAGGTGGGATTGAAGGTATCGAGTTCGAGGTTTTGCGTGGCTGACCTGAGCTTTCCCATGCGTTCCTTAAAACTGACCATCCACGTCTTTCAAATGCATCATTCACATGTCATCCTTCAATTCACCTCTGTTATGACGTAAAATACATTAAGAAGATTGGGAAGGCGTTCTTTACGCCAGTGGTATTCAACCTTTTTTGTTCGCGTACCCCCAGATATAATTTATCTTCAACTTTGTACCCCAAAAGTTGCTGGTGTATAATTCAAGTTATACATAGTATATAATCTACATCTAAAATAAACTGCATTACTGATTATTCAGTGTTTATCATAATTTTTTTTTTAAATTTCACGTACCCCCGGGAGTACGCGTACCCCAGGTTGAAAACCACTGCTTTACGCCACTTCACTGGTGGTGAGGTCAGCCGGGAAACCAAGGGAATAACATGCAAAACACTGATCAGAGGTGTATTGTAACGCAAGGATACCGTTGCAATAATGTGAACCATGGTGATTGTTGCTGCAGTGTGGTAAAATATGCGACACGCAGACTTAGAAGTGGCCATAATTATCTTTGCTTCCACTGTGGCGTAAAGAAAAGTTGAAAAGGGTCGTCAGAGAACGGAAGTAATTTCAAGACGTGTCCAATAGCTGTCCAACGAATAAAGTTTGTGCACCCCTGAGAATGTATGTTCATATTTATAGACCTTACTTCATGCATGCGCTCTCTCAGCTTCCCGACTCTGTGCATCAGTAAAATAAATCAGACAAGTTGAATGACACATACGCGTATTTAACATTACTTGCGTCGCTAAAAGCCGTCGTATAGAAGACAAGTTCGGCACGCGCCATTATTTTTGCGGCAAAAGCTTTCATCTGGGCAGATTCGATTCCGTGACAGTTGTTGAAGATAATTTAGACTCCTGTTGTCCTTCGTGGAGGACCATCCTGCTTGACTGATGGAGTCCGACTAGACACAGGGAATGTCCTAGTGTTTTAGTGTTCAGCTGGAGAAGCTGGTCGTTGATTTT